CAAGCTTTCTAATCTACTGAGAATCATTTTGTTTTCAACAACAATGAAAAGAAAAAACTTGAAAATTATTAAATATGGCATTCCCCTGTGATAACTGCTGTCCTTACTTTGTTCTTTATCTTGCCAACCAGGTGTATAGTTAGTCTGTATCATTTATTATAGACTAACCATTTCAAATGTATCATGTTGACAAACTTTTCTTATACAAGAAAAAGACATAGCACTCTCTTGCAAACCAAAGCCATTTACTATGTCAAAAAAAAAAAAAAAAAAAAAACAGTGAAAAATTTCTGCTTAAACTTCTACTCAAAAATTCTCTAAGCCTACCAAAAGCGAAGCTGCTAAGCAATAGTGTGCTGGATGAGTTAGATATGTTACAATCTCAAGATCATACCAAGTCACATATTCAGTTTCAGCTTCCTTTTAAATGTAAAATACTAAAGATCTGCTGGCTAACAAGCTAACTTTTTTTTTATTCTGATCCAGTAACCAGGCAACAGACAACTGTCCAACTGAGAATTATCTCTCTGAACAGCTGGCAATCAACACGGGGGTTTTTGGTGGTTGGTCAGGGGTTTTTTGGTTTGGTTTTGGTTGTTTGGGGGGTTTTGTTTGTTTGTTGGATTTTTTTTTTAACTAGTAGAAAGATCAGTGATTCCTGTGATTTACTTTACAAACCTACACAGCTCTAGATCCCACCTCTGAAATCTCTAATCACTATTTAGTCATTTCCTCAGTTCCATTATCCCCAATTACTCATACAAGTAAATGTTTACAACAGAATCTGAAAATTTTAGATCTAGATTTACGATGTGTCTGATTAGCTGATATTAACACTTCAGAGAAAATCAGAAGTATCAAGAATAAAAGTGAGATTCATTTACTGATGTATGACAAACCAACTTCAAGAAATCCTGACAAGACAGCTAACAAGTAACACCATTCCTTCTTCTAACTCCATTACTCTTTTTTCTCTTCCACAGCTGAAAAGCAGTATTTCACCTAAAGATTATTTCAAGTGTTGATTTTTAAAACAGATTACTTTCCCTACTAGACATTAGGTTATTTTTAAAAGTTATGAATTAACATTGCAATTCCTTTATTACATAAAGGAAATAATAAAGGTGAATCAAGCTTGATTTATTGTACCTTCCCCTTAATAGGAGTAATGAAGCTAGAAAGTGAACTTATAAATTCCTGTAAAGTTGTGTTACTTACACATTCAATGTGCTTGAAAGGTTTTTAAGAGTCAAAGACTTTTCAAAAGGTCACTTAGACAAAAATAAGCTAGACTGTCTCCCATAATACATGAATATTTGAAAAAATCTGATATTCAAACACAAAATATCTCAAATAAAAATCACTTGGTAAAAACATAACATAGCCACACAACGCTTCATACACTCTCTACACAAGGCAGGGGAGGAAACTCCCACCTTTTGCATTCTCCAAACATTCAGATCACTACCGATTAGAAATCTGCTATAAAAACAACACAGCTAATCTATTGTTAAAAGCAGTAAAACCTTAGCCCCATTTAATTATGGTTTTATTAATCTCTGCTCTTAATATGATCTAATTTCAGTACACACATGACTTCATATTCCAATAAATTGAAAAAACACTGACCGAGCTCAAATTCACTCAAGCACCAAGTTCAGACCAGGCAAGATCCTGTTGCAAGATAAACAACATGATGCGATGTAACAATTTTATGCGTGTGTGCGTGCATGTGTGTGTATGTGAGAGACTGGGGCAGGAGCACAGAGAGAAAGCAAGACTGCATGAGAAAGAAAGCAAGCGAGAGTGCGCGCCAGCATTCGCAATGGAAAAAATACATGTGTCCAGAGTAGTTTTCGGTCCAGTGCTCACTATAATTCAGAATGGAGAAAAAGATAAGACAGTAAGAGCTTGATACAACAGAAATACTCTTTTATATCACTCAAATTAAAACTATACATTAAAATAGCTTCACAGAATAGCCACTTTCTTTATGAAGTTCATTTCATTAATATTAAAGTAGCATGGCTACATCTGTATTTAAATTTTGGACCAGAACCTACTAGTCAATATACATTCTGCACTTCTCTGCAGAAAGTATGAGCACCATTTAGTTTAAAAGTAGGGCATATTTTGCCATTTTAATTTCATTTCCACTAATCTAGAGGGACAAACCCAAACAGAAAAGAATCAGGCATAATCTAAGCACGATAACCAAAGTCAAACTGCAGAAGTCCAGACAATTAGTAAAAGTCAGCTGGTAACCTGAAAAGAGAACAACAAATTGTGTACTCAAAAAATAAGACTGTAGTGGACCGTTATGTATTTATGTACTGCTTCCTATTTTGCAAACTAAAATGTTCAGTGCAAAGCTGTATTTTCCTTCAATTTCTTGTAATTAGAGCTGCCATATAATTCTTCAGTAATTATGTCACCTTTTGATGCACAAAAATAATTCCAACAGAAATCAGTCTGCATATTGAAGTCCTATATCACAGAGGAAAAAAAAAAGAACACTATTAGATCACAGGAACTACTCATGACTTCTGTATTACAACCAGCTTCCTCCTTTCCAAACAGCAACTTACTCAAGACTCTGCTAAAACTTTTTGGAAATAAGGAAAGTTTTACAGAAGCTTCGGTGAGAGAACATTCCATAGCAAAACATACATTAAACACATTTATAGTCACAAGCAATGAGAGGTACCGAAGAAGTAACTACTATTGGAAAAGTAGAATGATTGCTTAAGAAACTCTGCAAGAAAAATAGACTGTTTCTTTACATTAGCTATTTCACAAGGTTTGTATTCCCCAGTGCTATATGAACATGAGAGCCTGGAAGAAACCCAAAAGTCATCAGCTCAGGGAATGCCAGGACCTCCGAAAATTCCATGGGCTGGTGGTCAAATGCAAACAGAAAGACTAACGAGAGCTAGCCACGACAGAATCCATTTCTCATCCCTGTTCCATGCCTTCGCAGGTATCAGCCGCCAACTTCCTTAAAACACTGAATTTGTATACAACACAAAGTGGCTGCAAATTCAAAGCAGAATGTATGAAGTCAAACTGGAACTTCATTTGCACCTGTTACAGTGAAGCTGCTGGAACCTCCCTGGCCTAGTTATTTATATTATTACTACTGATTTTAAGAGAGTATGTGTTAATGTCACAAGTGTTTTTACTCATGTCATTCTAGCTTGAAATTTTATTTTTTTTTCCAAAGGTTCTTCTGCTACTACTGCTGTATCTTTACAATTTGCTACACAAAAAAATATGTAATTCTGATTTAATCAGGAAACAGAAGAACTCTGCTAGAGCACTGAACAAAAGATCTAATCTTTGGAGCATCTTTTCCAAGTGAGTGTAAATAAACTGTAGTAAAATGAAAAGGCTTGTAATTTGGTATTTGGAATATTCTTCATAAACACCAATTTACTGCAACATCCTTGCATATCTGATACCACCTCATGTATAATGCAGAAAATCTATTTCATTTTCATCTATTGACAGTGAATTTAATTTACTATTGCGGCTCTTTACCCAGATTATGTTATTAATTCTGCAATCAGGCTCTTTTGAATGCTTTTATTTCTTCCAAGAGTTTTCACAATTCTACTTTGATTTTTTTTCCATCCTAACATACCTTTAAAAAAAAAAAAGGATCTTTTTTTCTAACTTTTTAAAGAAAAGTGAAAAATTAAAGAAAAAAGCCTCAAAGACAACAAGCATCCATTCCTAAGCTGTCTCTTTCAACGGGGGGAAAAAAAAAAATAAATCTTGTGCATCACTTTAACCTCTGACATTTAAGTATTATAAACTACATTCATTAAGGAGATGTACAACAGGTGCATTAAAATTTCCACATCAAAAATCATCATTGTAAATGGACCACAATCTCGCCATTAATAAAGAATTACCCACTTCTGCCTGAGACTAAAGTTAGAGTACAGGAAAGCTAAATGCTCCAATGTTAGTGTTCTGTTTACATCCGTACCAACTGCCTTCACTATTTCGTAGAATCCAGTCATCTTGTTAAACAAGATCAAATGCAAAGCACCTCTTATTCTTTCAACAGAAAACAAGTTGGTAACAACTAGTCAACTCAATTCCAAATCACCAGTTATACTTCAAAATAACAAAACCACCAAAAAATCGTTCACTATATTATCTTGCATGTTTTTTAAAAGTCCCCTAGAACAAAGTACAATTACAGAATGCTAATTTGTACATCCTTAAAAAAAAAAAAAGATTATTCAACTGCAGAAGCTAAAATCTTATGTATCATTATGTAAAACTCCCACTTCAGAAATCTTATAGAGGAGAAATGCTAAATCAGGTAATTTTTTTATTATTATTATATGCAAATATTAAAACTTTTCTTGTGCATTAATACAGTTGATATAAAATACTTATTCCTTTATTTATCCAAAGTATTTCACTTTTATAATAGAGTTTTCTTTCACCATCATGAAAAACATAAAGAATATCTATAGAGCAGCACTTGTCCTCTTTACTTCACTCCAGAGCCAGTGAACAAAGCAGTGAAGCAGAAAGAAGGTACATAATGGATTTAAAGTAAATGGCCCATTCTTTAAGAGGCAGACTCTCATTTTTACTCATTCTAGCTTAATTGTCATTACAATGTCTGGAAACTTCAAACGAACAATTACTTTTACTCCAGCTGTCAAGTTGGTTCCTTAAAGCTAGATTTATTTTTTTTTTAACTAAAAACCAAAGCAAGCAAAATGTTAAGGAAAATATTATTTTGCAGAAACATTGTAAACATCTTTAAACACATTTCAAGCAGTTAGTGCCCAGGGCATTCCATACACCAAGACCGACAGAAAATTATATTCACTGTTGCACTTTGTAACATACTTTTCTGAGAAATAATGCTTCTAGCTGCCTTGGAAGCTTAGTGGCCAATATATGAAACACAGTGACAGGTACATACATTCCTTGGAGTTAAAAATAAAGAATTGGCTAATTTTTGCACCTACCTGGGTAAAAATCTTTGGATTTAGACAGCTTGATGGTGGCCCCAGTCTCTTTCTGCAACTGAACAATTGTCTGTCCTCCCTTCCCAATTATAGATCCAGCAGCATAACTAGGTATGAGGACCTTTAGAAAATACTGGCCATCCTCTGAAAAATTGAGATATGCATGGTTAATATGGCTTAGAAACTTTGATTTTTCCTCCCCAGACCCACAAGCAAGATGTTACATCTTCAAACTCGTCCACTAATTCATGCATTTACATCTAACCAGTTGCGTCATTCTACAAGACACGTTTAGACTATGCTTTTCACATTTTAAAATGTGTACATTTATCTTGAATAAATTAAAGAATCCACACAGATTCCTTAATTTCATAAAAGAATAAGAATAAAATCCAAATTATATTTCAAAGGTGGATTTTTTTTCCCCAATGGCAACCACAAGCATGCAGAAATGATCGGACCTTTGTGAAAAAAATAAAGCCCTGCACGAAAACGTGCCTAGTGACAACTACAACCTTGCTGGAAAATACTGCAAAAGAAATGACAAAACTAAAAAGGAATGAATTCTAAATTCTGATGGGCTATTTGTTTGTCATTAGCAAACACATGAGAATAGCAATTAGCTATTGCCTGCATTCTTCTTAAGTGAGCAAAACGACTACTCTGCTACCAAATAACCCACCCAAAATGTGGGGTTTTATTCCAAGCGTTGCAGCCACTGCCAAGAAAACAACTCAACATGGTGCGGATGGAATCACTTGCCTAAGTAATCCTGGTGTATTCCTTTAGCACTTCTTAAGAGACAATGATCTCTTTTAAGCTCATTAATTAAAGGACATTAAGAAGAATTTTTCCCATTTGATCAAAAGCCTAAGTCACTTAAATACACTTAAAAGGTGATAAGACAATGCCAGTCCTCTACGCACCGCTAGCACTAAAGCACACAATTGGAACAGGAAAAAAATATATGGAATGAATGAAGGGGGAACAGGAAAAAAAAAAAAAAAAAGGATTCTCAGTTTGATTCCGCAACTCACAATTGTCTGTGCCCTCATCCCACTGCTAAATCCAGCTACACTGAAGTCTAAGGACCTTCCGTAACCGGCTCCAAAAAAGTGCAAGGCAATAAGGATACGCTGGTTCCCCAGACTTAGGCTCTCTCCAGTGATTAAGACAACGTCCCATTGGCACGGATATCAAGATTTTTATCATTAAACCTGTTTCGTAAAGTTGTTTTTTCCCCTAAGCGGAGGGAATTATCCCAGTTCGCCTTATTTTTCTTATCCAAGACTACAAGCGTCTCAAGAACTGCCTGTGTGTGACAGTCGTGCCCACCCGTACCAACACTGCTGGCTGAACCATGCACTATGAACACTCAGACCGCTGCTCTTAATATTGGGCAAATAAATTCACCTCTGCCTCGGTGCATTGTTATGACGACTCCAGTGCAAACGGACAGAGGAGATGCTAGCGCTGCCGCTCCGCGCCGGGAGCCGTGGACGCGCCAGGCTGCATCGCGCAGGCTTGTAGGAAAAATAATAAAGATATTATTTTTATACTGTGACAGCCGGGCTAGCTGCAGCTGTGTGACACAGAGCGGCATCGCTTACGTAAATATTTTGTAGAAAAATTCTGAGGTGTTTCACTGCGGCGAAGGTTATTTCTGCTTACGAAACTCAAACTATTCAGGTTGAAAATATTGTAAGGTGCAGGGTGGTGGGGGTGGGACGGCTCGAGGGGTTGTCTGCGTACTATAAAAGCAATTTTACTCGACTCTGAAAAAAAACAGTATAACCGTAACGGTAGTGGTCAGTCTAGAGCATCAGTTCTGTACAGAATTTAGAAATGTGTGTTTATTTCATTAGACCATGTTCTGTGCTAAATTCGTACATGTGTGCAGAATGGCTGCTGACTTGATTCCTCTTACTATGCAAGGTTTTATCCTGGCTGTTTGTGGACGAAATCCAATTTCCATTCTAGGCTCCCTGGAACACTCGGCCTTAGTTTCAGTAATCACTTACCATTAATATTGTCCCAAACAATTTTTAGTACTTAAAATACAAATTTAATGTATAATATATAATACAGCACATCACCTCTACTCATAAATTAGAAGCCAGATACATACATAATGCATTATAGGATATTAAAACATGGACGCTTTAACATCTAAACGGTATCCTGCCTGAAAGCATTCACAAATTAAGAACTCGATCCAGCACTGTACATAGGAAACTTTCAATGACTTCTTTGGGAATTATGTCCCAGGAATGCGATATCTAGCCTCCTCACAGGCAGATGAAATAGATGCGGCAGATTCAGTAACAATTTGATAGCATATATGGTCAGAAAAAATCATTGTATAAAAATGGAACTTTCTTACTCATCATATACCCTTTGTATCTAAGATACTCTGACTCATAATTGCTTAGTTTACTGACTGAAATAAAATTTTAGGCTTCTGTTACCTTGGCAGTTGCTGACACAATTATGGTACAGCAAGCTGGGGACTGTTTTTTTTTTTTTTTTTTTTTTTTTTAAAATTAAGTTCCAGTTGAAGAATTTTAATTAGTATTTGAGCCAGAAAGAGCACAGCATGACTTGGGACTGATGACCCTAAAAACGGACCTGAGATTTTCAAGAGACTTCTTTTTATTTGTAAACTAAGCAAATGACTTATACAAAATTTTGAAGACAAAACCCCCACAATGTTCGAATGAAGCCATCTTGAGTCAATTTCCGCAGTGGAACTAGATAAATTGTAACACTGCTGCCTTTATCTCACTGAATATGTCCCATTCATCTGTAGTAACATTGAATCAAACAATTCTCTTGTTTTAAGACCACATCTGTTTTACTGTGCCCCCTGCACCAATTTTAATTATGTGGCAGATCTGATTGGATTCAGCACCTGCAAGTCTTCCCTTTGGGAGCTCCAATTAGTTTATAAAACATCTACTTGATTACATTCTTTAAACAAAAGTATTTTTTCATCCTAACAATAGGAATATTAAAGTGTAGCATAAAAAAGGATTTCAATGTGATAAGGGGTATGTTGTTTATGTATCTATCTTCCATCATTTTAGAGAAAAAGTGGTAATCCTGAAACCTAATTTCCTCAGACTCAGCAGATGTCTGTCCCGCGTTAGTCTGTTTCTTTACCAACAGCTGTTTCACAAGTGCCTCCCCTCGTCTCTGCAGAATGCCTTTTGTTTAATAATTTCCCGATATGTTATGTCCCAGTCCCACTAAGACAAGCTTTTTTCAACTTTTCTGGTACCTCTAAGTAGGTTTTTTATAGTTTAATAGACAGGTTTGTCTTTGAAGACTTTATTTAAAGCTGTGTAACTAGCCTCTCAGCTACTTCCTTAGTAGCAGTTCAATTTAACTAAGCAAATACCTGCATATAATAAACATTTCAACAAATACTGATTTAAAATTAATAAAATTATTAATTAGTACAGATATGCTTCAGAATATGCTTATTTCTCCTTTTTTCACTGCTTGGAGCAGTTATAGTTGAGGTCTGGGGGGGGGCATATCGCATAAAGTGCAGCCCTCTAGTGGTAGAGGTCATGGGCAGTTTAAAGCAAGCTGTGTTTTTGTCAGGAGTGGGGAGCAAGAAATAGCTTTTAGCAAAATGCAAGCAACTGCTCTGGTATATCAGCTGCCTGCATTGTTCATGGTCTGAAGCACAAATGAAAATAGTTGTGGAGGCCTGTAGTACAGCCTTGCTTCCACTCTGTCCTGATTTCCGTGGAGAAAGGACCAATAAAACAGTCTTTATCAGCAGATTTATCCTCTTTTCCCAAATTTGTTATCTATTGCTCAGTTCTTCAGCCAACTCTAGACTGGTATATCTAACCACAGGTTGTTCAGGTGTTGTGGGATCTTGATTCCTTTTCTGTTTCTTTCAGTCATGTCCTACCTGTTAATGTATTCTGTAACTTCAATAAGAGTTAGTTCAGTGATTGCATGGAATAAAAATTCAATTTGCCAGTCTTATTTCTAAAAACACTCTTGGCTAGTGGAGGTGTGGATGGTAGCATTCAAACTAATCTCTCCCACAGACATAAGAGCTGTGCTTAGAACTGAAAGGGATTAGGAAGAGGCATAAAGCAAAGCAATTAAACATATTTTAACAAGTAGACATCTGCAGAATAACTGAGGTAAAGTTCTAGTAAGCATCACCTAATCTGATAAAGCCTGCTTGTGGAACAAACTCAACCTCACATTTTTTGTAGAGGTGATGGATTTTTCTCCTCTGGCTAACAGAATGAACGGTTTGTTTTTTCCCCTTATGGGAAAGATGACAGAGGCCACTAATCATTAAATGAAGAACAATACCTCTTAAACGTCCTGGCTAGGTAAAAGAAAACAGATACAATCTTCATCCAAAATTATGCCACTACTATTGGCAGTTTTTCATTACTGAACATTTTCTGTAATTCCTGTTAAACTCTGGCTTCACTAAAATTACAGTTAGTGATGATCACAAAAGTCTCTTTCAAGTCTTTAACTTCCACCATTTGTTTATGAAACTTTTTTCCTCCAATAAACTAACATCTAAATTTTTATTATTTATTAAATTATCCAATCATTGCTTGTTTAAATACTGCAGAAGTTTTTCACCAGTAAAATTTTTAAGTTTCAGTGGAACTTCTCCAAGATAGTAGCAATATTAATCATAGGAAAATCAGACCCAGGGTTTGGGAAAAAAAAAAAAAAAAAAAAAAAGCAGCTAAACATGTATTAGACAGAATGTGACCAGATTGTCTATTTTCCCATATTTATATTCCTTTTGTTATCGACACCTATATTATATGCATAGCCAAACTAAAAGCCAAGTGTTTATAATTGCATTCTTTACAGAAAAAGAGCATGGACAACTGCTAAACCCTTTCATATTGTAGACCATTACTGAGTAGTAGGTTTCTTTTTCCAGTAAGCTGAGGAAGGTAACTTAAAATCAGTAATAATTTGACCATACTATTTATCATAGCATGAATATATTGGCCAAAACTCTCTTTCTAGTGGAAGAAGGAGAGAGTGTGTATAGGAAACCAGTGTCCATTGAGGAGGGATCACCTGTCTCCTCCTATTTACACAATATTCATCAAAATTTCCAAAAGCTTTTCTTGACTTTTCTTCAGGAATAAAAAACTGAATTGTTCCCAGTTCTTCATTCCTAAATCTGTAGATCTGATTTATAACGTGTTCTTATGTTCTTTATATCTTGAGGTTACCTGAGGACCCATCCAGATCTCAGTGTAAAAAACAAGGTAGCCTCAGGACAAGATCAATTTTCAACTCTTCCAAGGAATTACTACGTGGATCAGGATCCATGAAACTCCAGTGGCTGAACACTTACCCAAAAAAGGCATCTCCATGGTGATCTTTCTGTACAGTAATTTAAAAACCTTTGATTTCTCAGAATTAAAGTGTTTGAAGACTTCATTTCAATTGCTTTCCAATAATAGTATTATTTTGGGGGTTTTGAGGTAAGTTGTTTTAGGGGAGTTTTTAATAGGCAAATAAATACTTCAGGCATTAAAACTAGTACAAATTAGGAGTAATTCCATTGTAATGAATCAGTGATGTAACATAGTATCTGAGAAATAGCAGGATCACCTTGTGTAGCTTATGTCACTTTATGATGTTACTGATTGAGTGAAGCATCTTCCTACAAACTGAATTCGGCCAGCTGTCACTCCAGATGCTTCAGGATGTATTCCTCTAACAGTATGGTGAACAGGGTATTTTTCAAGGAATCAGCATACCCGTTTCCAATCTCTGTTGTTAGAATTGCTCTAGCAGTATCACTATTATATGTCTCATTTTGCCCTTCCATCATCAAGTGTCTTATTTGTTTGAAATTTTGACACTTTAGGATAAATACAATATGAAAAAAAGAGACATTAACAGAAATATCAGGTTTTTTGATTCTGTGGTCAAGCCAGGCCCCCTTCCTGTGAACCAAAAGACCTGGAACAATGCAGCACGTCCTGAGTGGTCATAAGGACATCTCTGCTAGAGCTCAGTCGTGCTCTCCAAGCGTCTAATACAGTCTTGGTTGTTCTCATAAATTAAAACTAGTAAAACCAGGTTGTACTTTTAAGTGTTGTGTTACAATTTAGAACCTTATTCAGGCTTGTTGAAGCCTGGGAGTTTGCTATAGTTAAGCTGACAAATGGGAGTTGTTATAATGGAGAAGATGAGAAATCTTGCTGGAAAAGAAATGGAAAGGGGACAAGTAGATATGTTGCACAGGAGACAAAGGGAAAACAAGAATGAGACAATAAAGACAAAGGTACTGATTTTTCTGTGGTAACCATGATTTAAATTATGTAGCAAAATTTGAGTTACTCTGATCATTTTACTCACTGCAAAAATGTATAGTACTTGATATCGTAAAAGAAAAACATATCCTAGTAAAATTATACTAGTAAACTCTCCTACTGTTAACAACCAATAAACCCCACTTTTTTTCAGTATAATTTGTAATCAGTTTACCAAATCATAAGCTATTCCAGCAAAAGTAGTTTTTACAATTGTAATACTATTATAATAGTAGGATTTTTGTCAACAGAAAGGTGATAAAAGTCATATCTCTAATATTATTGCACTAGTAATAGTTCCTAGTAGAGATCTAGAGGTCTTTAAAAATATTTTTTTAAGGCTTACTATATAAAAATGCCTATTCCAGTAGATTACAAATTAATTTTCAGCACAGCAAAATTTTAGGTAATAGTTATTACCTTTAAGAATACGAAGTTACACTAGGAACTTCAACTGATTCTTCCCTAGAGTTTAGCAAATGCCTTAGAGTTGTTCTTCGATAAATTGTTTTACTTCACCCACAAAAATTAATTATTCCAGTGCTTCATATTTCTACCCGCTTGAAATCAATTACTCAAAATACCCCTGAATTGGAAAGTCTTCTGGTGGAGGAGGGTAAACATATAAAACTTACAGCCAGGATAAATTGTCCAGAATGATTTGGCACATATCCTCACAGTTTGCCATGAAAACATGTATCTGTGTGTCAGCTGCACACAAAGACTATCTGGCCCCAGAAAAAGCATGGGGATTAGACATAATGCTGCCTATTTGAGACAAAGGGTATTCCTTAGTGCAGTGAGGTTAAAACAGACAGCTCATCAGTGGTACAAGTCTGCCTAAATTACTTAGTTACCATTTTGAGCCAGAAGGAAATGGTGGCAGATTATTAATTACTTTTGGGGTTTCTTCATCTTGTTATTTTGTTTCAGTGAAAGCAACACTGGAATCATGGAAAGGTACCAAAATATGACATCATTTTTACTTTAAACATATTTTAATGCTAGTGGCAAAATATAACTGATTTTCATTTACATTTCTCTAAGTCATCATGAAGTTGCTATGTATGTTTGTAAGTGGGTGCATGACCAAAGTGAATGGAACAACGCATATGCTCAAAATAAAGCATATGTTCATCTACCTTGCTGAATTAATGCTTCTTTTGTTTTCAATTCAATGGGAGAGAGACGAATTGCTTCAGTATTCCAGATTTCAGCTGCCAAATCTCATCCAAGCATACAGTAAGTCAATGAGAATCTTTCTACTGCAGCCCCGATTGCCCTTCTGAATATGCAGACTTTTAAACATTTTTTTTACTCAAATTACGAACTGCTTTCAATATTTTTTTTTTTTTTTTAAAATCCTTCAAATAGAAGATAGTAGTCCATGGCCCTACTGGATGAAGATAGTTCTGTTGACTTAAAGGGCTTTTAAGTCATTCAATACAAAATACTTACAGGAAAATACAGTAGAGACAGGAAGGAAACTATGTAAAAGATATTAACATGATCTGCAAAGCATTCATGCAGTAAGAGAGATACTCTTCATATTCTAGTGATAGGCAGTTTGAATGAATTTTGAATAGAAATATTTAGGGATATGTAAAAGGAATATAAAAGGTATTTAAGAATGTGTAATTTATTGTTTCTAATAAACAAAATAGCTGGTATATAATTTAAAATTTGGCAGTTACAAAAGTAAAGAATAAACACATACTTTCCAATAATTAAAAATCACAGTTAAGCTGAAAATCTTTACATAGCCATTTTTTATGTTGATAATAAACAGATATAAATATTATGTTATAGAATGTTATCTATTTTATCTATATAAAAAAGCCTGATTGTGTTTCCTATAAATTTTCTGTGTAGTATTTTTTTTTTGTAATATTTTAGCCAAGAAGACTGTTGTTTCAAAACTTCTAAATATTTCTTCTTCTTGTTCTTATTTTCATTTAGAGGTTTAAGTTGTTTGCTCTAGGACAGAAAAATTCATACGTTGAAACAGTAAAAATAAAACTGCTGCGGAACTGAGTCACTGAAAGTGAGATGAATGCCCATAAAAAAGTACAAATCAGAAAAAAAATGCCAGAAACAAGATCATTGTGCGTATTAGCAACAATGATTACAGATTCATCATGGCTCACAACAAAGGTATTTATAAGTGGACCTCCTGCCTCTGTCACATGCTGTCATTACTTTGGATTGACTGCTGTTAGATCCCTGTAATCCTGAGCCCCGGGATCTTGTCCTACATGTTTACCCGACTTGCTATGCCTGTTAGTAAGTATTTAAAATGGAAATGAACTCTAATCATTGTATGTGTTTATAACAAGGGGTTTTAATCCCTTAAATGCCAGATTTAACATGTTTTTTTAAAATAAATTTTATAAAAACTGTGTTCAGTCTGATATATTTGCCACTTTAGCCAGTTAAGTTTGGTATTTCTTAACTCAATAGGGTGTAATTGCAGTGATATTACAGAACACATTCCTGGATGAGTGGAAGCATAGAGTAACAACAGCCACCGGGATAAAAATGGCATGTTTATTAGAAAATCTTGACAAATTTCATATATTTCATGCACATGTAATATAGAAAATAGAAAAAAAAATAATCTTTTAGAAGACCAATGTGACAGATAAAGAAATAATATATGACTGCCATTTGCTTGTGAAGTTATGTTGTTTTGTGGATATTATGTAGAGAATAAAAACCAAATATTGTGCAATTAAGAAAAAGTTCATTAAAACTATCATATTCCATCTCACCTGAAAACTTATTGCCACCAACAGATTACAAATAATGTATTGAAGTAAAATTCCATCTCTTCCTTCTTTGTCTCTTCCATATTTGTTTATATTAAATGATATCTGAAATAAACCACCTGACTCTACCTAAGCCAAGGCAACAACAATGAGAATTTTTTTCACTGGTGAAAGAGAGAACATATGGAGACTGACTATAAAGTGCCTAAAGCTTGATGGAGAAAATGCTTCCTGGATAATACACTGAAAAATAGAATTAGAATATATTCACCTCATCTAGATTTAATGCGTTGGACAGCATTTATTTTCTCCGAATAATGAGACATATTCAGTTTGGTTGAAATTCTATAGCCATAGAAACAAAGTTCCCATAAATTGTGTAAAACAAATACAAAGATATAGCACAGCATGATTTAATTTTTTGCTGACATGATTATAGAGAAGAGAAAATCCTTAACATATATATGTACTGAAAGAGCAATAAATACTTAGACTTTGAAACTTGTTATCAAGGCAGTGTAATATTACTTCATTTTTTCCATTCTATCCGTTAAAAAATGTATTACTAGAATCTAGAGATTTCTCTATACACTGATGTAAGTCTATAGATAAAACTAATTACAAACAGCCTATTCAGCTGAAAAGTTGCAAGAGTCAATTGTAAAATACACTAAATTAGCATAACTACTGCAAAAACTAGTGTAAAACAATACAGCAGATTTCTTAGATTAATATAACTTTGCTAACATTTAAAAAATACCGATACCTCAAACTTTTGTATATATCGAGTCTGACTGGAAATATTATGTTTATTATCTTTTGAACTGCATGGGTAAATTATTCATTATTGCATCATCATACCATGGAGGAACTGGGTTGCACTATCTCCAAAGATTATGCATTACTTTAAAATGGTTGAAAACCATTTCTCTCTTCATTACAATTGTCACATTAGTGAAAGAAAACAGTCAGCTTTCCAGCAACATTTTATTCATTTAGACCCTCTAAGATTTCCCAGGAGAATATGTCATATAATCAAACAAAAATGCTTGGCATGATAGATTCCGCAAGACTGCATTACATTCTGTGGAAAGTAATTTATGAAAAAAAAATGAACTATGGCCATGTTATTCAGTGTTGTCTAGATATCTTAATAAACCATATGATGACAGCAGACATTGGTCATGGAAGTTTGAACTGTATTTTATTGTGATTATTTTCAATTTGATAAAATTAACATTCTGTGTAAATCTGGCCACATGAGAACAGTTACAAATTGTAATTATTTTATGAAATTAAAGAAACATTTCACCTTTATATGGTGAATTGCAAAGGTATATTAAAATCTTTAAGATTTTAATTGCATTTAAATGTTCAAAATAGAAATAGATCATCTATTAAAAGACATGTAAATGTATGTGCATATGTGTGTTTATACCCATGTACACACAAATAAAACATGCACATGAATGATGTACACAGACATATCATATATTGTGTGTGTATATAGGTATGTATATATATATATATTTATGTATGTATTCATACATAAAAGCACACAGCAATTTTGAGCCCTCTAGTGGTAAGAAACTTCTCAGTTAAGAAATCATTCATCTAATCGTAAGTATATCCACTTAAAAGACAAGTGTCTACACCGTACAACACTATTAGGCTTTCATATAGGTTCAGGATCGCTCCCTGCAGTTGGTGTGGGTCTGTAGGTACAAGTGTTAATAACAAAATAGATCTGCAAATTAATTTATTGTTTCTGGCATCGTTACTGTTCTGCCTTTTCTCTTTTGAAAGTACAGCTCTTCTGTGCACTTTTGACACACTGATGATAATTTGTGATATTTCTTTAAAAAAACACAAACTTTTGACATGAATACTGTCAAATAACCATGAAATGTTTTCACACAACATCCTCAGTCTCAACCTCATGTTATATATTCCCACAAGTAAGTAATCCAAGGGGAGGAGAAGAAAAATCTGCATTTCAAATTGGGAAAGGATTCATGATACATAACTTCAGCTGTCTAAAAGTTTTCTAGACTAAGCTGGTTGTTTGCACTGACCCTGATGTCACTGGAGGTGAATAAGACTGAATGAGTTTCCTTCTAAAGGTGCCTGGGAGAGATCTGTAAGATAGGTGAAATCTTTATGGATTTAAGTTTCTTTCCATTTTCTCAAGGAGACCTAACTAACTTAGAATCAATATTTTCCTTTTAGAAGGCTGAAAAAAAAAAAAAAAACCAACAAAAAAAACCCAACAAAACAACCAACAACCTAGATCCAAACAAGATTAAATAATACAATTATGAATTCTATTATTTATAGTCATATTTATAATATGTAATACATATTAGAAGATGAAAATATATTAATAATGTATATGTATATTATAACAACATGTTAATACATGAATAACATATATCTCAGGTTAATTTACTACACGGGGAAACCGTTCTGCAAGATTACTACTATCTTGGGGAAATCCCAGATAACATTCAGAAGTGTTTTGTCTGGTACCTGATGGCTTTGATGGGCTCCAGAGATCACACTTATGTTAATTTTCACCCTGGACTCAGCTTAAACATTTGGTCTGGATGACCATCCATGCCTTAAACCTTATGAATCCTGCAGCTGACCTGTTTCTTCGAAGATTAACACTTTAATCAGAACTTTGTCCCTGAAGGAACAGAACAAGGGAGCACAACTATCTAGAGTGGTAAGATTTCCAAATTCCTTTTACAGAGAAATCTCACTGGGAGGACCTTCAATATGGTATTCATTCCCTCTGTCCACAGTCCTATAATCATGGAACTTGTAGTTCTCAAGAACAGTAACATTTTAATTGGCCAGGGTTTTTAATAGGAATGAGTATCAGTGTTTCTGGAATTATTTCATTAAAAACATAGTATAGTAATTTATGAATGTAATTGGTTATGTGCTAAGAGCTTAGGACAGAAAAATTATGTAAGTCATAAGCAATGAATTCACGTTTTTAATAATACAGCAACTATTTTGCTTCCATTGTATTAGGCCAATTAAATATATTGTTATTCAATTGGCTGTTTACTTTTAATATCTAACAGAATATGTATGCATGATACAGAAATGAAGTCCTAAAAGGAATATTTTCATTGGATGCATGTAAAATTTGCACAGGTTGAACTTTTTTACAAGATTATCTTGAGTAAAACATGCAAAAAGAAACATAAGTTTTGTGCATGATAACAGTCTACCTCAGGCAGGTAGTGAGGCATAAGGTTCAGAACTACTTCCAGCATAAGATAATATGATTATCAGAAAAACAGGAGTAGGGTTATACCTTGTGGAAGAAAACACTGGTGACTTCTTAACAGTGAAAAAAGAATTCCTTTGTACCATACTGAACACTAGTACATGACTTAGAATGTTAAGAGCAAAATAAGTTTTACATTAAGGCACTGCACTTTTCTTGTTTAGAAATCC